TCGTATCAATACATGTAAAAAGATATTATATAAATAATTGTTGCATTGCTAATATACATATATATGCAGAGTGATTCACCTAACTTGACGACCTGAAATTGTTCGTAAACTATTCGCTGTACGAATAGTGCATGAAGCAAAATTTGCATGGTTTCAAGGGGGAAATATGTTACAATAATTTTTTTTTACATTATTTTTATACTTAAAGTGTTGAAGTTCACCATGATTTTTTTAAACGGATTACTCTACATTTCTTTCCGTAAATGAAGAGAGCATTAAAAGCTGAGTAAATAAATATTAAATCTAATACTATGTCTAAAATGAATATTTATTAAGATATTCATGATAGAAGTTCTATTCTATTGAAATCAAATTTATGGGTAGAGAAATATACTTTTGCGTGTTTTTATATAAATTTGATTTCAATAGAATAGAACTTCAATTGTAAATATCTTAATAACTACTCAGTTTAGACATATTGCACCTTAATATTTATTTACTCGACTTTTGATGCTCTCTTAATTTTCGGAAAAAAATAAAAATAATATTCCATTTAAAAAAATCATGGTGACCTTCAAAACTTTATGTAGAAAAAAAAAATTATCTTAACATATGTCCCCCTTGAAATCATGTAACTTTTGCTCCATACACTATTTCGTACAGCGAATAGTTTTCAAGCAATTTCAGGTCGTCAAGTTACGTGAATATCCTAATTCTGTATATCCGTTTAAGTGCCACGGGTTATTGCAGAAATATGACCGAAAAATGCCAAGCAGCGCGATCGCGTTTCTTTCATTTGATGTTGAAATATTGCAAAACTTTCGTTTTGGACATTTTTACAAAATACGACTGTTTAGAAATCACGCGAAACAAAGGCAAAATTGATTATGTGCAGGATTTTTGTTTAATTTTTTATAAAAAAATAGACTGATTATAAGAAATGAAATAAAATTTACACTCGTGACCTGATGCGATGGCACTTTTTGATGTCAAATACGAGCAACGCGATCGCGCTGTTTGACACTCAAACCGATATATATATATCTATATTACATTGATATTTGTACAAGCTATACTGACAATTTAAATTAAATTTATATTGGTTCTATATATATTTGTGTCAATAATATGACCAAAAAATCTAAATCTAAATGGTACCTATATTATACTAGTAAATATGTTATTTTTCAAGTGATAATAGAAAGTAGCTTGTATAAACTAAAAACTTGGCATATGATAAATATTTTGAATCAGATATGTAGAATCGGGGCCTTCATGACCAACAAAAAAAAGAGCATATAACAAGGAAATTAAGAGGGCACCTAGGTTATGTGTATAGACTCCCGGTTTGCCGGCCGGAGGTCGCGGGTTTTATTCTTGCTTGGTCCCTCGTATTTTTTCTCGGCTCCTACAGATATTCAATGAAAATACCTGTTATACTAATAGTTTCGAGAGGTATATACATTTTTCTTAAAACATTACTATTAATGTAAAAACTCCATAAAGGAGAGCACAAGGATACGCAATAAGTAAACGTTGATTTTCTTCTCCTGACATAGTAGTAAAAAGTCTAGATGCTGAAATTGTTGACCAAGCTACTGCAAATATTACAAGGACTAAACCTATTGGGCCACGTAAAGTTGTAAAAATACTAAAACCAGCAAGAGCTACTATGGGTAGTAAACAGTAACCAAGTACAGATGCTACAGAAGATAATGTAATATTACTAGAATTACTCATTAATGACTGGAGAATGTACATTACAATACAGGATGTCATTGCTAAACCATAAACATAACCAAACTGTGATTTAGATCCAGCTAAGGAGAGAAATCCAGCTAGCATTAAACAGAATGCTACTGGACCTGCTAAATCAGAATCCTGAAGTAAATAATTTGCATCGTCTATCTGTCCCCTGCTATGAAATGGGTATAAAACGGCTAATATTTTTTGTAATATTCGATCAGGGTCTATGCCTAATTCTTCCAAGAGTGGTGGCTCCTCTTCTTCATCTACAAATCCAGCAGACCCTAAAATTTCGGATTGAAAATAATAAAAATTCTTTCACATATAACCTAAAACATTGATTTCTATATAGTTATTTCAATTATAAACCTTTTGTAAAGTTATCCTGATGGTACATATCACCACCAAATACATTTTGAGTAGGATCTAGATAATCTTTTTGCTTATAAGGCGAATAAACTCCGGATTGTTGGTCACTGTACGTTTGAAACTCGAATTGTTGATTATCCGTAGGTTGTCCAAAACTGGAGGGATCAAAATTATATTGATTCTGAATCGGTTGGCTCCAATAATCATCGTTTCCCGTGTTACCAGACATTTCTGCAGTATGTGGATATACAGATTAATTTCTTTATTTGAAATTTGAAGTTCAACGAATCGTTTCGACTATTGTTGACAAAAGATACGACCGTATTGACAACACTTTTAATTTTCAATGTTTGCCAAGTGATGGCGCAACGTGATGGCGCCAAAAAGAAAAACGAAGAGTCCGTTTCCATTAGGGAGGATTCGCCGGAAATCGTAGAAGCGCGCGGGAGTAATCCTGCAGCACGACCTTTTTCACTTTTATGTTTCAGATGTGACGAGCAGTGTGACAGTCATTCGAGTGGAAGTCACCGGTGATGAAAGTCATTTTATTAAGCAGGAACCTGGGGATAATTGTTCTATAGTTATATCACAGATGGGGTACAGGAGAGACCTTGCACTTAATATGATATATTTTTGTGTCCAACGTTTTGAAATACCGATCGTGTAAAAAATCAGAGTTTTTGATATGCCCTCACCGCTCGGGACTGCGCCTGGCCATATATTCGGAGAGGTAAATTTTTGAGTAGTGGTCGACATTATCTGACTCCGGCTCACTCTGTTGGGCGTGCATCAAGGGTAACAGTGAGAAGTAGGCAGTACGAGTAAGACAGAATAGTTGAGTGTAATAATACTATTGAGTTAAGTAATTTCTTACTCCTAATAATTATTTCTTTAGTTTAGTTCCTATTCAAGAATTGTCGGAAGAACGTAATTGTAAGAAAATTCAATCAATTAGCGACCAAGCTTGGGTATTGTTAAAATAAAATATTTAAAAAATTATTTTTTTTTCTCACTTTGTATTCCTAATTTTATTTTATTTATTTTTGGTTTAATTATTTTATTCTTGTTCTTCCTATTTTTATTGTTATTATTATTATTACACCTTCCACTTCCTCAATCACTTTTTGGCCATACATATATCCGGACACTACTGTATTACTCGTTTAGCTTAAAATTAATACAAAAGTTAATACAAATATAGTTATGTTTGCTATCGTTTTAATCGTACGAATCTCAATAATCCGACTAAAGTAATCTCGCAACAATATAATACAAAATATAAAAAATGATATTTTTCTTATTTCGGTAATTCAATACCTGTTGAGACAACGCCGAGGCCTGCCTCGAGCTTACAGTTCTAGAAACTGGCGGGAATGATTCGCGGTTAATCATACAATCCATACCTTAAAGATGGTAAAATCGACAGATGTAAAAAATCCTCTTTTATTAAATTTGCATATAAAGATACATATATGTATAAAGTTCAATTAATTGTAAACGAGATTTGTCGTTACTGGAGCGTCATAGGGAACTTTAGAATTCCCCAACAACGACCCTACATTATTATTTCGTGCTGCGCCATCATGTGACACATCTAAAAATTAAAACGGTGTTGTTGTCAATACGGTCGTATCCATTTGTTAATGATGGTCGAAATGATTTGTTGAATTTCAAACTTCAAATACTACAAAAATGTCTGGTTACACAGGAAACGATGATTATTGGAGGCAATCACCTCAGGGTCAATATAATTTTGATCCCCCTAGTTTTGGACAACCTACGGATAACCAACAATTCGAGTTTCAGACGTACAGTGATCAACAATCCGGAGGTTATTCACCTTATAAACAAAAAGGTTATCTAGATCCTACTCAAAATGTATTTGGTGGTGATATGTACCATCAGGATAACTTTACAAAAGGTTTATAATTGAAATAATCGTATAGAAATCAGTGTTTTAGGTTATATGTGAAAGAATTTTTGTTATTTTCAATCCGAAATTTTAGGGTCTGCTGGATTTGTAGATGAAGAAGAGGAGCCACCACTCTTGGAAGAATTAGGCATAGACCCTGATCGAATATTACAAAAAATATTAGCCGTTTTAAACCCATTTCATAGGAGGGGACAGATAGACGATGCACATTATTTACTTCAGGATTCTGATTTAGCAGGTCCAATAGCATTCTGTTTAATGCTAGCTGGGTTTCTCTCCTTAGCTGGATCTAAATCACAGTTTGGTTATGTTTATGGTTTAGCAATGACATCCTGTATTGTAATGTACATTCTCCAGTCATTAATGAGTAATTCTAGTAATATTACATTATCTTCTGTAGCATCTGTACTTGGTTACTGTTTACTACCCATAGTAGCTCTTGCTGGTTTTAGTATTTTTACAACTTTACGTGGCCCAATAGGTTTAGTCCTTGTAATATTTGCAGTAGCTTGGTCAACAATTTCAGCATCTAGACTTTTTACTACTATGTCAGGAGAAGAAAATCAACGTTTACTTATTGCGTATCCTTGTGCTCTCCTCTATGGTGTTTTTACATTAATAGTAATGTTTTAAGAAAACTGTATATACCTCTCAAAACTAGTAGTGTAACAGGTATTTTTATTAAATATCTGATTCAAAATAATTTATCTTATGGCAAGTTCTTAATTTATATAAGTTACTCTATATTATGACTTATAAAATAAATTATTTATTAG